GTCGATCTTCAACCAAAGTGTACCGTTGGGACAAGCTGGTCCGAAGGAGCGTGCTGTTCTGGTTATAACAGACAAATTCCCTCATCCATCTCTCTCAAGATAAACTTCATTTTCCCTCTTTAAAATTCTTCTATCCTGCTAGCAAATTAATCCAGATATTTTCAGAAATGTCTGTGGTGAAGCAACGGAAAATCATGGCCGTATGGTTTTCCTGGTTGTAAAGCTGATTAATTATGTTATTTTCAATTTTTGCCAATTAATGTAAATGTGTGATGTTAAAATTTTGATTCTTTTAATAAATGACCCACTGTCGTTGGTGAGTCAAAGATAATTAACGTTTCCGTCCACATTTTATTAAATTCAATGCACGTACATTATACAGTCCAGAAAAATGAAAGAATCCGTTTAATTTATGAATATATATCAGCATATGTTCATTCTACACATGTACCACATGAGGTGCGAATGACAATAAAGAAACTCCGACTCGGATCTTTCCCTGGTTTATTAAATGGTAGAATTATCAAACAAGTACAGACAACTACAGACCCATAGCTTTAACTTCTCATTTATGTAAACTGATGGAGAAAATATTAGTTAACAGATTATGTATGTCCTAGGAAAAAAAGAGAACTTATTAGTAATTATCAATGTGGTTTTAGAACTGGTCGGTCCACAGTAGATGCTCTAGAAAGAGTATGTAATATTGAAAAAAAACACTAAAAATGAAAGAAATGATGATCATAGTGTAGTGAACTAAGCCTCAGGTCAAAAAGCCTTCCTGGAACAGGAACTGTTATTTCATTGATTTGAGTCCAGAAATACAAATTAAGCTCATCCAGAGACTTTCTAAGTGTCCTGCACTGATCAATTGAAAGAACACTCTGATTATCAAGATATTGTAAAATAGTAATGATAATAAAAAAGTGCGTTTAGTTCAAATCATTTTAAATGTTGAAGTGAACTACTCACTTTAAATCAACTGTGAAACAGTATTAATGATTTTTAATCCTCATTCAAAGTAGAAATCAAGTTAATGTCTGTTACAAGAGTAATTATGCATTTTTTTGATCTTCTGTCTGAAATAAGTAGTGAGTCGGTCAAAAGTGAAGGAACGGTCAAAAACATGTTTATCGGAACTAAATGTCATGTTTATCTCTATCAGACAGAAAGAAGAAGACTGGCTCCTAAAGGTCTCTGTTCCAAAAACATTTCTCAGTCTGTTCCAAAAACATTCCGCTGTTTTTCTGACTTGTAATAACCTGACGTTACTAAAACCACACCCCTGTTGTATCCTGATGCATGCTCAATAATCCAGGTAGAAAAATCTAAAAAAGTTAAATCTGGTCCTCTGGACATTCAAAAAAACAAAACGGTGGTTTGAGAGAGGAGTAAAGGAGGCCATCTTTGTGAAAAGAAACCGTCCATCATTAAACAGGGGTGGAGGCCTCCGGGTTCAACTGTCCCCCTCTTACAATGCTGTGATTGCTAGTATCACTCAGCCCTCTGTGAACAGTAAACAGCCATCAGTGTGCTAATGATCCATTGTTAGGCTGATGGTCCTTCTTGAGCATGTGATCAGCTGGTTTTGGTTGTCAGCAGCAAAACTGGTTGATCCACCCTGAGACGGTGCTATTTAAGAGACTGAGCTGAATACAGCTCCTCAGACTGAGGAAGTCTCTCGGATGAGAGACGAAACGTTTCTACATTTTTTGTTGATTTGCTTTGTTTTGTTTTTTTGAATGTCCAGAGGACCAGATTTAACTTTTTTCCACACCCCTGTTGGTTTATTCAACCAATCAGGAAGTTCCCAGAAGGAACCGGAAGTGACCTCTTTAAAAGGGTCGACAACAGAACAAAGTTCCAGAAAGGAACAAGTTGCTGGGAAGAACAAGTTCCAGAGCAGAACAAAGTTCCAAGCTGAACAAGAGTTCGGAGAGCAGAACCGAACAGAAAAGTTGCCGGAGAGAACAAGAAGTTCCAGACATGATCCAAAGTTCTTCCGAGTCTCGTGGGGATTATGGAATCTTCCACATCTGAGTGGAACTCTGACAGGCTCACAGCTCATGTGAGTCCACCTGGGAGGTGAGCTGCTGTTGAACGAAATGATCTCACGACTCTTGAGGTCACAGCTGTTCTTACGGAGACGCTGAAAAGCGTTGAAAGGCAACTCTACACCGAGGCCGAACTATCGTCTGCAAAGGTAAAGAGTCGATCTTCAACTGCGAAGTGTACCGTGGGTTAAGCTGGGTCCAAAGGAGCGTGTTGTTCTGGTTATAACAGACACATTCCCTCACCCATCTCTCTCCATTTAAACTTCATTTTCCCATCTTTAAAACTCTTCTATCTGCCAGTAATTAATCCAGATATGTTCAGAAATGACTGTTGGTTTCAAAAGCTGCAAGTGAGAAAATCATGGTCGTATGATTTTCTCAGTGCAAAGCTCATTAATTAAGCTGTGTTATTGTAATCAATCTGCCAATTATTGTAAATGTGTGATGTGTTTAAATCGTTTTTTAATTAAACGACCCACTGTTGTTGGTGAGTCAAAGATAAAACACGTTTCCGTCCACATTTAATCATTCAAGGCACTATAGTACTCAGTCCAGAAAAATGAAAGAATCCGTTTAAATTATGGATAATATCAGACACAGATATCGTTCATTACAACTGGTGGCCCGGTACAGGTCTCTAAAGAGCTTCTCGTGACCCAATATCCGCCATTTGGACATTTCGTGGCCGTACGAATGTTTGAAGAGGCGTGAGTTAAATGTGACGGAGTCTGTGTTGATACGTGAACTGAATGTTGGCATGAAAAGTGCATCTTTCTAATCTATCAGCTGTGTGGTTCGGTTCTAGAGAACAGCTCGGACGAGTCGGTGTTCTAAGAACAACACTGTTTTAGAGCTGAAAGTAATATCAATGTGTTCATTTAAAAACTGAAATTTGTACATCCGTTGTGTAACTGAAGCTGGGTTTGTGGTAAAACGCTTTATTCTGTTAAACTGTCGCAGAGAAAGACGGGGGTTCTGACCCGTTTCGGCTGTCGGACTCTGTTCAGATTCTTTTGAACGAGTCGTGTTGTGAATGGGTAAACTGCTGTTTTGAAACTGGGCGCTGTCTCAGGCCACTATTAAAATTGCTTTGTTACATCTGTAACAGTGAAACTGTACATTTTGAGAAGTTAATGGACAAAGAGTTGACCGGACTTTTCAGGCTACAGCTAACAGCTAGCTAGAATAACGAGCAGTGATTGGTCGAAAACCGCTGTTTGGGTCGCTCTGGTTCGCTGAGAAATTGGTGACGTGTCTGCATTCACTCCCTTTGATGTCAGTAAAACCCACCCGGTTGTTAATTGGTTGATTCAATCACGTGACCCCGGAAATGCAGCTTGTTTTCATATAGAAGCTTTTCTATGTTGTTTTAAAGTTGGAAAACGCTTTCAAATTGGTTTTGACCTCATGATCCATCTCTTAAAAGTCTAATCACTAAAGCGACCGCTGAATCAAGAGTGAATCCATCTTTAAAATGTTGATTTTGGTCCGTGTGGGCCGACGCTAATTCTAAAGCTAACGGCTAAAGACCGGATGTCACCAATGCCACAGGAAGTCATCGCGACTCCTACTGGACGTCACTAACAGTGACAGGTTAAAATAAATAAGGTTACACTGCCACCTCCTGTTGGAAACTTGAAATCACAGTTTCACTTCGTGTTTAGGATATTTTGGTGAAATTAAACGTTTTGTTTATTTCTCTCAGAAGCATTTTTGAGTTAATAAACGTTCCTCAAGCTGATTTGTACTGTTATCTTACATTTAAAAAGTGATTAAAGTATTTATGCCCAGAGAAGGCGTTTACTAAGAAATTTTTTCATTCACTGATAATTTTTCATTTTGCACCTTGTGAGGATTTAAGAACTTTTGATAGATACAGTCTTGATAATCACAGAGTTGATAAGTTTACTCAATTGCTGAAAGGAAAATACACGTTTAATTGCTAAAACGCCAAATATAAAATAAATATAACAGAAAAGGAAACCTTTCTGATTTATTTTACCACCTAAAAACACAACATCTTCCTGTCTATTTATTTAAATAAAATAAATAAAGAGATAATGGAAAAAGAGGAGGAAAACATTGACCTTTTAGACTCCCAGTCAGAAGATGACATAATCCAGGGAGCTTTACATTTTAACAGACCCGATAATTGGTACACCATTACAAGAGATGGATGAAATTCAGAAAGCTACGGTACTGAAAAGTTTAGCAGAAAATGCCACGGTGGCAGAGAATAAAAAGCTGAGCCTTGAACGGTTAGCAAAAATTTCTCTGCTTCTCAAACAAATTGGATCAACAGGTTGAACACAATGACGTGCTGACTAAACAATATGCAGAGAAAATCGGGATGTTTCAGGACCTTGAAGGACGCTTCCTTCGGTTTCAAAATGAACACATCGAGCATACTAAAGAACATCTGGAACAGATGACACGTTTGAAGCTAGACGCACGTGCAGAAATTGTTTCACTGAACAGCCAAGTACAGTCACTTAATGCATCACTCACTGAAGCCAGGGATGCTAAATAACTGCTTTCCACAGCATACTTTGCATTAAGACGGGATTACGACGAGACAATGTCACAAGTGTCACATATCTGTCAAGTAGCTCGAAAAAGAGAGAATCCGTTTAAATTAAGTATAATATCAGGTACTTGAACTAGTCCAGATATTATAACATGTAGTGGAGCTCCGAAGCTAAACGAAGCTAACCGACCTATTTCACTACAATAGTATTCTTTGACATAAAAAAAGCGTATGATTCTATGTGGAGGGAAGGGCTGCTAATAAAACTATAACAAAAAGGGGAATAGATGGGAGGATGTATAACTGGATTGCCAGCTTCTTTCAGGATAGAACGATTAAAGTAAAAGTTGGAGGTGAATTATTTCTACGCCGATGATTGCCAAATAGACTATATGCCACGGACTTCCGTTCTAGCACTTCCGCATTTTTCAGAAGGGCTGCGCACTTCCTGTTTGCTGTCAACACAGTGTTAGTGATGGCGTTTTTCACTCGATCACTGCAGGACTTGCCAACAATATCTGTTAATGATGTCTACAGAATTATTCAGACTTTCTCGAAAGCGCCCACATCTAAAAAGGACAAAGGATTCAAGCTTTATGTGTCCAACTACATAAATAAGTACGAAGGTAAGTCGGTATTTTTTTTTCAGTTCACCGAACTGCCTCATGCAGGCTACATATAACACAGCTAACGTAGCTAACCTTGCTAAATTGTTGAGTAAACGTGTGTTGTCTGTACAATTTTTCTGATTAACCCAAATATTAGTTTCAAACAAGGAGGCAGGAGAAATCACAGTTAGGGCTGAGTGTTTCCAGTCAATGAGGAAAAGCCAGAAGCCCCACTGTTTGAGTGTAAGTCAAAACCACCCGACATGTTCTCTACAGGGCTGTGTTTTAAGAAGCTAGTAGGACTTTGATAATTACGGTTGTCTTTTTATAATAGCATTTACAGTTGGTACTTTTTGGTCTCTTAACAAATATTTGGTATTGTACACAGATGGTGCTGAGGGAATCAAAGCCGGTGGAGTTTCAGGGATGTCAGTGCACCTGTGTGGCAGGTACAGTCCTGTGCAGCCATGTGGCAGCTCTGCTTTTCCAGACGGCTCACTACTCCCAGTTGAAGCTTCCAGCTGTTCCTCCAGTCCTAAGCTGCACAGACACCGAACAAAAGTGGCATAAACCGAGGACAATGGTAACTACATATTGATGACTCTTTATTCCTGCTTATGAATTATAGTTCAATACTGTATTTACATCAATGTTGTTTTTGGATGCAGGGCATAAAACCTGGTCCAGTTAAGGACATGGTCGTCCTGTCAGCAAAACCAAGAGAGAGGAAAATCTTTGTGTTCTTTAAATTAAAACAAACCTAATTCCTTCAGACACATGCACAAACACACACACATTTTTAAAAATTCATTAAATTTACTATCACAACACAAGCACAAAAAGTGCATGTTTTGCCGTTTTATGTGCTTTATACATAAAATGTTATGGTATGGTACTTAAGCTTGTGTTGTACTATGCCAGAGATAGGTTAAAAATGCAAATAAGTAACTAATCAAACTTCGTTTTTAAACAAGACAATAACTTTATTGCCTAAAATACAATAACATAGGCTTTATTTAGTATAAATTTCATCATTTGCCTATTAATGTCTTGTTTATGACAAATTTTTATTTTTCTCAACAGAAGCAACTTGTATAAAGGCACTACCAGCCCTCTGCCACTCATCTCGACCCTAAGGATACAGGATGTGTACCGGGGACTTCCAGCTGAAGAAGCTCCAATGATCACCACAATGGCTGTCTCCAACGATGTCCCTCTTGTTGACTCTTTGTTTGGTCCAGTACAAGAGGGAAGTGTTCTGTCATATCAGCTGCCAGCAAAGGTAGTTCCCAGGACCCGTCCACACCAACACGTCCTTTCTCCCCCACAGCTTCCACTCTACAATTACAGGCTTGAACACTCCAGCTGTGCGTATGTATGTTCAGAACAACAGCAACACCATATGATGTCCCTTGAGACAACGTTAGAGATGTCTCACAAAATTGAGAGCAGCACACGGGAGCAGAGCTTCTGTCCAGAGTGGCACCAACTAAGAAAGTGTCGTGTTACTTCAACAAGGTTTAGGGAGGTCTGTCGCACCAGGGGTGACAGCTCTTCTGAAAATCTTGCGAAAAGGCTTCTGAGACCCTGCAGTCAAACTGCTGACATGCGGCGGGGGCTTGCCTTAGAGCCAACAGCTATAGAGGAGTATTGCAGGGTAAGGGAAGTAAACCACTACCCATGTGGGTTCTTGATACATCCTGACGCACCATGGATGGCGTCATCACCAGATGGAATTATTTACGATCCTGAGGAGCAACAAGTGTTTGGCCTTTTAGAAATAAAATGCCCAAATGTGACAAGCTATGTGGACTGCTCTTACATAATGATTAGGGATGGTAGGCAGACACTCAAACGTACACACCCATATTACTGGCAAATCCAGGGACAAATGCTAATTTCAGGGTGTGACTGGTGTGACTTTGTCATTTACACAGAAAATGACATGTTTATTGAGAGGGTTCCCCGTGACATGCAAGTACTGCAAACCATAAAACAAAAGGTTGACCATTTCTTTTTTTATTTTTACCTCAGCGCTTGCCTGGCAAATTAAAAGTAACATAGTCAAATTTTAACCTTTGCATATATGATTGAAAATACTGTTAATACTTGTGTCATGTTCCTTCCATTTATATTATTTTTAAGCAGTTAGATTTATGTATTTCTCTTTAAGGTCAGATACAATTTATTCTGTTTGAAATTAGCTATTAGGCTGTTATAATCATACCCTCTTTGTGAACTGTGTTTTTCTGTTTCAACAGTTTGCATTCACTAGATGAGTGGCATTTTTTGAAAAAAAAAAAAATAAAATAAATTTTTTCATTTCAGTTTTATTAGTACTGTATTTCAATATCCCACTTGATGGCTTGACTTATATGAAAAATGTTATAAAAGAACTGATTTAATGGAAAAAGTTCAGAGAAATTGAAATATTTAGGACAGTGATTTAATTTTATTGTAAGTACAAAAAAACAAAATCAAACATAGATATACAGCATATTTTCTTGCTGTTACTCAGATGTCAGGCTTCTTTGCCCAGGCCTTTACTAGTGGGCCATTTTCATAATTTGTGAGTAGACAAGCAACAGTGAACAGTTGGTTGATTATACCAAAAACACCTAGGGGAATTTCAGAGTCAAGTAACTTGTGCTCTTTGACCCGGCGAATGAGGCGCTCCACATGCACCCTGAGACGTGCTATGTCCTGGGTCTCTCTAACATCCTCAGCAGACATCTGAGACCTGCCAGACAGAAATGCTGGCCTGTAAACTTTGCAGGGGACAATGTCATCAATAAGAAAGCCCCTGTCCACCATAACAGCCATCCCTGGTTTTAACAGCGTGATGAGACCAGATTCACGGGTGATCTGCTTGTCACTGATAGACCCGGCATACAGTCCAGAGATGAATGTCACTGCCCCATGAGGTGCAATCCCAATCAGCCCTTTCAGAGTGCAGTGGGATTTATAAGATGAAAACACCTCACTCTGGAGGAGAGGGGAAGATGGGCACTGACACCTCAGCTCAGTGCAGTCAAGGATGACTGTAGTGTCAGGGTAGTGTTTGAAGTCTGCCGGTAGATGTTTTCGTATATGTTCCTCCGGTATCCAGATCCTAATTGAACCTAAGACTGTAAATAAAAAATTGCTCCATGTTGTGATGATCCTGCTGACAGTGGACTGATGGACACCGTACCGGTCAGCAAGATCACGTTGCTTGGATCCAAGGGCAAGGTAATTTAAAAACATGAAAAACTCATCGATGGGCTGCAAAGTACAAGTTGATGGAGTGGAGTCGAGGGCAGTTCCTCTCTGTCCTTGGCGAACACTGACCATGGATGGCAGAGAGGGCTCAATCATGCCCCAGAAATGCATCAGAAGGTCATATGATGCAAACCTGAAAAAAAAACATACCATAACAATTAGTGTCCATGTTAAACTACACAGCATACTTAAAAATAAATTCAACCCCAGGCACTGTGCTGTAATACTGTAATTAATTTAGAATATAAATACTTATGACAAATAACTAATACCAATCTTCCATATGTTACATTATTCATAGATGACTGTTTGAATTGATATTTTGAGTTAATTTTGTTTTAAAGAAGGGGCTGATATAATAAGATTATTTCTTCTGCTACCTTTCATTTTATGTATTTTTTTCATGTGGTTTTGTAAATTGTTTTTTTGGGGCTTTAAGTATGAAATGAACACAAAAAATTAAAATAAATGAAATGTATACATACACACAAATAATATACCTAGGCACATAGACACACACACACACATTAAATATAGAGAGAGACAGAGAGAGAGCGAACTTAATTCAAACTGAATTTTTCGCTTTAGCATATAACTCGTGAAAAGGTTTTCTAAAATAATTTTATACTCTGTGTAACACAAACGCGCGCGCATCCCCCTCCTCACACACACACACACACACACACACACACACACACACACACACACACCTACCTTGTGAAGAATCTAATGTCCTTGTCGGAGGATGCAAAACGGTGAATGCCGAATCGCTGCCTCAGCGTCAGGCTCTCAACCTGTTCCCGTAGCTGGCGGACTTCCTCCCGGAGATTATTATTTTCCTCCAGCACTGAATCCACAACTGCAGGGTCTGGACTAGCAGCATAATCGTGATCCTTATGGGTGTCTACACTGGCTGTTGTATTATCTTCCTCCTCGCTGTCCTCTGGAGGTGGTCTTTTCCTTCTCTCCCAAACCGCGGGTCTTGGAGGTGGAAGGGAGTAATTATTCCATTCAAACAAAGCAGGTACAGCTCCCTTTTTTAACATCCGTCTTCCCTTTTCGGATACTGGCTCTTGAATGTCCTCAGGTTTGAAATGCCGACTACAAACGCGGGTGTGAACTTTTAAAGCTAAGTTTTCCCTGCGGATAGCCACGGTCCATTGTCGCCTTAACTCCTCATCGGCAGGAAAATGGAAAAAACTAACTACTCTATTGTACCTACTGGTTAGTGGACACAACGGCACACAACAGAACTGACTTGCAGTGCCAGTAGATCGCAGACGCTTTCCGTTTTGAGTCTTTTTCATGGTTACTACTAGTAGCTTATGCTAAAAACAAATGCAGTGGATAGGAGCCGGAAGTGATGGACCCTTCTGAAATTTTAACGGAAGTACGTCACCACTACCCGTGGCATATAGTCTATTTACTTCCCCCTGAGGCACAGAGGCACACGCTTCAGCCTCTTCTTGACTGCCTGGCTGACATCTGGGACTGGATGGCTTTAAACTTCTTAAGCTTCAATGAGAAGAAGTCTGAAGTCATGCTGTTCCATCCCAGTGGCTCACTCATGAACCATGACATTGACCTTTTCTCTCTAGCCCCGCTAGAGAAACAAAAGGTCACTAATCTGGGGGTGATAATGGACCCGTCCTTAAAACTCAACAGTCACGTAAACATGATGGTCAAATCCTGTTTTTTTCATCTGAGACGGCTGTCTAAGCTGAAACCTATACTCTCCAAAAAGAACCTTGAGACAGTGATCCACACCTTCATAACATCTAGGCTTGATTACTGCAATTCACTTCTGCTTGGAATCAGTCAGTCCTCCATTGCTCGTCTACAACTGGTCCAAAATGCTGCAGCCCGATTTTTAACTGGTACAGGCTAGAGAGCACTTCACGCCAGGTTTGGCCTCCCTGCACTGGCTACCCATTCACCTTCGGATCCAATTCAAAATTCTCATGTACGTTTTTAAATCACTGAACAGTTCCGCCCCATCCTATCTCACTGATCTTCTGCAGCCATATGTCCCACCGCGCTCTCTGAGGTCAGCAGACCAGATGCTTCTCTCAGTCCCAGAAACCCGTCGTAAGCTCAGAGGTGACGGTGGCAACTCATTCCACATTCGTGGACCTGCAACAGAGAAAGCCCTGAGTGTCCGGCAGGCTCCCACACTCTCAGTCTTTAAGTCTCGCTTGAAGACCTACTTCCATTCTCTTGCCTTTAACACGGTGTGATTTGTTTTGGCTAGGTCTGTACTCTACACTGTTGGCCATTTTAGTTAGCTTCTGCTGCCATTTGTTGGCCATTTTAGTTAGCTTCTGCTGCCATTTGTATCTGTATTTTTATTTTAATGTTTTCCTGTCCGCTGTGCATGTTTGTTTTCTTTTGTACAGCACTTTGTTTGGCCTTGTTGCCGTTTTAAGTGCTCTATAAATAAATTGGTATGGTACACTCTTATAAGAGATGTGTTAAAAAAATAACACAAAAAATGTGTCATTACATTTAAAGCAAATTTTGTGTTAATTTTAACACACAATGTGTTAAAATTGCAACAAAAGTACAACACACTGTATGTGTTGAATATTTCAACACATACAGTGTGTTGGTTTGTGTTTGTCAGACAATTTACTCCCTCCTGCCATCAGATAGTATAATTGATCTTAATAACAGCAGTTGTTTTGTTTTTTTTGTTTTTTTCAAAAATGTTTTTCCAATTTTTTTTTTCATTTATAACTTTTTAATTTAACTCAATAAAATTGTCATTATTACAACTGTGACAGGATTGAATCCATTTTAAAAAATGATGCAGCACAAACAATATTTTTCTTTGGGGAATTATCCAACATCATAAAAAATACAAGAATTAAGCTTATGTGTTTGCTACTAATTTTAACATTAAACCATTAAATCTATAAATTACTAAGACTTTTTAACACAATGTTAATACATGCTTAATTTCTGTTTGCCAATAAAATATTCAGACAGTTCTTGGATGTTTACAAAATAGGTCTATAATAATTAGAAAGTATGAGTATGGTTATGTCCAAAAAAAGGTTAGCTGATTAAACTAAACAGATTGCCAAGAACAAGAACCTCAAGTCAGCACAAGTGGGCGGGACTAAGTCACCAGAGAAAGGGAGGGAGTTTTCCCGCCTTACGACTAACAAAGGAGGCAAATATGGAGGTTGCATCGTCTGAGATTCACACTTCGGTAAGTAATATGTATGTTAAATTTGTTTTAACGCAGTGATATCATGGTAGTCGTTTTGGAATTTGTCAAATCAATAGTTGTAAAAGTGTTATGGTATTTTTTTGGTGCTATGACAGGGTAATACTCTGAAAAATTATGCTGGGTTTCATGTCAAAGTTAGCTGAAAAATTATGCTGGGTTTCATGTCAAAGTTAGCT